GGTGGCTGCTTATCTTGTCTTTCCAATGTGGTTAGGAAGGGAAAATATCTCCCCCATTTTACAGATGGAGAAATGGGGCCTGGGCAGGAGCAAAGCCTAGAAGTGCTGCCCACCCCGCTCTGGCCTGGCATTCTCCTGGAAACATGCGGGAGTGCCCGCCTGGACCTTGGGATCTCCCACCCGTATCTGCAGACCCCGGTCTGCCGGCGTGGATGTGGAATCTGTCACTCGGGATCCTGGAGTCCTCCTGAGCTTGTCAAGCAGGGCTCCATTCACCAGTGTACGGACAGAGGCCATGGCTGGGACTCTAGGAATATCCAAGGCACCTCATTATGCAGAAAACCACCCTAATGAGCTCGTGGGGGCCTCTCTCCATCTTCCTAGGGGTGATGCAATTGCATATAGCTTCCAGGCTGCCCAGGCAGGCCATGAGGGGCTGCCCCTGTGGGAAGGACAGAGTGGTATATGGGGGGTGGGGGCGGCAGGAATCATTCAATGCCCACCTGCAACGTCCCGGGCACACAGCACATTCTAAGGCGGTGCTACCAGGCCCCCTGGGTGGAAAGAGGGACTACAGCTCTCCCAGGACCCTGAGATCAGTCCGCTGGCAGGGCCTGTGATCTGAACCCCTCCACAAGGCTTCAAATCAGTGCTCTGTGTCCTGGCCTCATAAAACCTGGCTGCCCAGTTGGGATTGGTGTCACCTGCCTTGCTGAACTGGGCACTCCTTGGGCAGAGGGTGGGTGCTGTGAGAAGCCAGCAGATCCTGGCTGTGCAACCGTCGCAGGTGGCGGAAACTCTCTGTGACTCAGTTTGCTCACCTGCAAAGGGGGCTGGGATTCCTGCCTACAGGCATGTGCTCAAGAGGGAATGCTGGCCGGGCGCGGCGGCTCACACCTGGAATCCCAGCACTTTGGGAGGCTGAGGCGGGTGGATCACTTGAGGTCAGGAGTTTGAGGCCAGCCTGGCCTACAGGGCAAAACCCCATCTCTATTAAAAAAAAAATACAAAAGTTAGCAGGCACCTGTAACCCCAGCTACTGGGGAGGCTGAGGCAGGAGAATCGCTTGAACCCAGGAGGTGGAGGTTGCAGCAAGACAAGATAGTGCCACTGCACTCCAGCCTGGGTGACAAGAATGAAATTCCTTCTCAAGAAAAAAAACCACAAGACAGCAAGGGAATGCTGCGAGCCGGGCATGGCGGCCTCTGGCTGTGTAGGTGCTCCGGAGGCTGAGTCAGGAGGATTGCCTTAGGCCGGAAATTCCAGGCTGCTGGGAACTGTGAGTACACCTGTGAACAGCCACTGTATTCCAGCCTGGGAAACACAGGGAGACCCTGTCTCTGAAAAAAACAAAATATTTTAAAAAGAGTGAATGGTGGGTCGGGGTCTTGTGTGGTGGGGTGGGCCTGGGCGGGGTGGAGGCCCAGCCAGAGACACTGGGGTCAGGGAGGGACTGGTGACAAGAAAGCATACCCCTGGCCAGGACAGCACCCAGGGAGCCTTCCCTGTGGGTGGGGACCTGGCCTCGCCCGGCCACATCCACGTGTTGGTTGGAAGAAGCGTGGAGGGAAGGCAGGCCCTGTGTGCTCTGGCCGGGGGGCTGCTGGGTTCCCTCACTGTCCCCGCCAGTCACATCCCAGGGCAGCGGAAGCACTGGCTGCTCAGGGCTGTCAGACCCTGGCCTGGAGAACCAGCCTGAGGGCAGGGATGAGCCTTGGCGCTGCCTCTGGTCCAGCCCTTAGTTAGGTGGGGCTCTTCCCTGCTGGGGGTCCTGGAGGCCTGGGAGGGCTTTGGAGTTCTGTGTGAGAGAGGCCCCGCCCCTTCAGTTCTCATAGGTCCCCCAAGGCTGTGTGTCTCAGTCATTACTTTACATAAGAGAGGAATTTGGTGGCTCACACCTGTAATCCCAGCACTTTGGGAGGCCGAGGCAGGTGGATCACGAGGTCAAGAGATCGAGACCATCCTGGTCAACATGGTGAAACCCCGTCTCTACTAAAAATACAAAAAGTCAGCTGGGCATGGTGGTGCATGCCTGTAATCCCAGCTACTCAGGAGGCTGAGGCAGGAGAATTGCCTGAACCCAGGAGGCGGAGGTTGCGGTGAGCCGAGATCGCGCCATTGCACTCCAGCCTGGGTAACAAGAGCGAAACTCCATCTAAAAAAAAAAAGAGAGAGAGGAATTGGAGCCAGGCAGAGCCCAGGATTAAAATGGGGGGAAGCTGTGATTTGAATGTGCTCCTCTAAAAATGCATGTTGGAAACTCAGTCCTCAGTGCAACAGTGCTGGGAGGTGGGGCCTAAGGGGAGGTGTTTAGGGTGACCCGTGGATGACCCACTCTCTCACATTCTCTTGCTGTGTGATGCCTTCACCTGAGTGATGACACAGCAGGAGGGCCCTCGGCAGATGCAGCCCCTCCAGCTTGGACTTCCCAGCCTCCAGAACCATGAGCCTCCAGAACCATCTTCTATGTTGAAATGATCCAGTCTGTGATATTCTGCTACAGCCACAGGAAAGAAATGGACTAGCGCAGGGAGGGAGGTCTCCCGGCTGGAGCTGGGGCCTCATGCTGGATTTGAATGGGCTGCTACGGAGTCAATGCCCACAGCTGTGCTGGGCCTGCTAGTCCTCTAGGCGGTCATCACCCTCCCTATTGTTGGGGAGGGCCTCAAGTTCACCCCCTCTGTGCTTGGGGCAGGGGTGTGTGTGTGTGTGTGTGTGTGTGTGTGTGTGTGTCAGGGGGTAAGGTCCAGCTTGTAACTTCTGAGTCCCCTCCCACCTGCTCAGCACTGGGGTCAGCACATTCTTTTTCTTGGCACTTCCCTCTGTGTTGCTGAGCAGGCCCATTCTCTGCTCCTTGATTTGTTAGTTTTGCTATCCTCTGATATCTGGCTGCTGGAAGTAGAAAAGTTCCGCTTTAAAGTTTCCTTTCTTATTAAAGAATAAATCATAAATGTGCTAATAACGCCTTGTGAAGCCCTATCCTATGTAGCTGTTGGACATGCCGTGCTTACAGGCACATAGGACATTCTATGTCCTTGTACTTTAACCAAGACGTCTGTGCTGGATGGGCTCACAGCCGTGTCCCAGCTCTCCATTGCTTTTACCTGTTTAGAAAAGTTGTAAGATGCTGGGCTCGGTGGCTCATGCCTGTAATCCTAGCACTCTGGGAGGCTGAGGTGGGTGGATCACCTGAGGTCAGCAGTTCAAGACCAGCCTGGCCATTATGGTGAAACCCCATCTTTAAAAAAAAAAAAAAAAAAGACAGGTTGTAAGTTATTAGCCAATAGGATTTTAGTTTAGACTGTGAGGTCTGACTCCAGCCAATGGAGATCAGACACAGCAGTAAGGAATTTATTTATTCCTTACCCCAAATGCGTAAGGAATAAATATGTCTGCTTTCCTTTGTTCACTGTACTCTCTTGGCAAGATGGCTATCGAGGGTACCCTTCCTACGGTCCAGGAAGTAAAAATTGGTTTGCTGAAAAATCCTGTGTCTTGGTGCTGATGTTTCTTTGTGGCACCGAGCGTCTGTTTCCAACACATGCTTTGTTACAAAGCAGACAGGACAGCCAGGAGCAAATTGCACTTTCCTCCTCATCTCCCCCAGCGCCTGTTTTCTTCCATATTTTGCTGATTTATTATTGATTGCTACGTTATTGGACCACGTTACATTTGCGTTCAATTTCTGTTCTGTCTTCACCCCAATTCTGATAATTTCTTTTGCTTGCAGTTAATTACATTTAATGCTCTCTGTCAGTCCTTTGTCAAAATTCTCTCCAACATGCTTTTTCTTTTGGGGGTGGGGAAGGGGTCTTGCTCTGTCACCCAGGGCATAGTACAGTGGCACAATCATGACTCACTGCAGCCTCCACCTCCTGGGCTCAATCAGTCCTCCCACCCCAGCCTCCTGAGGAGCTAGGACCACGGGTGTGGGCCACCACACCTGGCTAGTCTTTTATTATTTGTAGAGACTGGGTCTCCCCATGTTGCCAGGACTGGTCTCGAATTCCTGGACTCAAGCCATCCTCCTGCCTCAGCCTCCCAAATTGTTGGGATTATAGGCGTGAGCTACTGCACCGCACCCAGCCTCTGTCTTACTCTGGAGGGGAGGCGGTAAGTACTCCACACAACACTCATGTGACCACACTTCTCGAATCCTCGAATGTTCAGAACCGTCCCGTGGCCTGCGCCCTTGAGGACGGCTAAGCTGGCCGTGTGTAGGATGTCCCCAGCCTGCACTTTCCTCCCTCGAGCATTTTACTACTTTTCTAGGGCAGCCATAACAAAGTCCTACAGACAGGAGATAAAACAACAGAGGTTTCTTCCCCGGTTCTGGAGACTGCAAGTCTGGAATCAAGGCACTGGAGGACCATATCTCTTGCTGATGGGTCCGGAAAGAATCCATTTCTTGCCTTTCTCTCACAGAGCCTGGGTGCTCCTTGGTTGTGGCTGGATTGCTCCCACCTCTGCATCTGTTGTCACATGGCCTTTCTCTTTTTTTTTCCTTCTTTGTTTTGAGATGGAGTCTTGCTCTGCCGCCCAGTGTGGAGTGCAGTGGCGCAATCTCAGCTTGCTGCAACCTCTGCCTCCCGGGTTCAAGTGATTCTCCTGCCTCAACCTCCCCAATAGCTGGGATTACAAGCACCTGCCACCATGCTTGGCTAATTTTTGTATTTTTAGAGGAGATGGGGTTTCACCTTGTTGGCCAGGCTGGTTTTGAAATTTTGACCTCAAGTGATCTGCCCACCTTGGCTTCCCAAAGTGCTGGGATTACCGGTGTGAGCCATTGCACCTGGCCTTTCTTTTCTTCTTATAGGACGTCAGGTATGGCTGCATCTTAACCTGAAGGTATCTGCAAAGGCCTTATTTCCAAAAAGGTTGCATTCATAGGTACCAGTGAAGAGGGAGACCCAGGCATCTCAGATCAACTTCCCCTTTTCATTCCTAAGACTGTAAACTTCCCCTTTTCTTTCCTAAGACTGTAAACCGAAGCCCTTTTCATATGTTAATTTCTAAGACTGTAAACCGAAGCCGCTTTCATATGTAATTCCTAAGACTGTAAACAGAGACCCTTTTCATATGTTAAGCTATAAACCTAAGATTCTTCCACATGTAACATCTAAAGTATAAGCCTATATAAAGAAGGAACCTTCCTTTGTTAGGGGAGCTTGGATATTAGGCAAATATGTCACCTTGCTCCTGGCTGAATAAACTCCTTCCTCCAAAATTCGGCGAGAGATCTGTTTCCCGCGGCCGCTCCTGCAACACCAGGGGTCGAGGCTTGAACACATATTTTTTTATTTTTATGTTTTTTTGAGACAGAGTCTCACTCTGTCATCCGGGCTGGGGTGCAGTGGCTCGATCTCGGCTCACTGCAACCTCCACCTCCTGGGTTCAAGCGATTCTCTGACCTCAACCTCCCGAGTAGCTAGAATTACAGGTGCCTGCTACCATGCCTGGCTGATTTTTGTATTTCTAGGAGAGCTGGGGTTTCAATATGTTGGCCAGGCTGGTCTTGAACTCCTGACCTCAAGTGAGCCACTTGCCTCAGTTTCCCAAAGTGTAACATATCTTTTTAGGGGACACAATTCTACCCACAAAAAGTATTTTCTAGGTAAGGAAGCATTGCTTCTCTTTTCTTCTGGTATTGAATGTCACTGTTGAGAAGTCTGGTGCCAACTTGGTTTTCTTTTCTCTGTAAGATACTTGGACTTTCTGTCTGGCTGCCTACAGCATGACTTCTCTCTCTTTAAAGTCCAGTCATTTTACAAAGGCGTGTTGACTGCTCTGGGCCGACACACCCAAGTAAACAGCACGTGCTTTTACACCCAGGCGCAAGCCTGCCTGCATTTCAATAAGGAGGTCCGCAGTAATCGGTCATTTCAATCCTTGTTCAGCAGGGTGCTGTGGTGCACCCCTGTGCTCCCAGCTACTCGGGAGGCCAGAAGTTCAAGGCCAGCCTGGGCAAGGCAGTGAGCTCCCCTCTCCTATGAATCAAGCAGTCAGTCCTTGTTCCTATCTGCGGTGGCCCTGCCTGTCGCACGTGTGTGCTGGGGCTCCTTCCCTGGTCTTTCACAGTCACTTTCTCTCTTCCTTTTTAATCGCTCTCCTCTTTCATTGCTCACCTTTCCTTTTCTACGTGATTTTCGTGGTGTCTGTGCTCTCGTATTACCTGTAACGTCACGCCTTCGTTTCTGAAACGGTTTTGTGTGTTTCTCCCGTTTCCTTCCTGCATTCAGCCATTTCCTACCACAGACTCTGCTGCCATTGGGCCGCCTCCTCCCTGTGTTCTTGTTCCTTCAGAGCTGAAGTTCTTGTTGGAATATTAGATCATGATTTTCATCTGGTTTGTGGCAGTATTTGTCTGATGAGATCTCTTCATTTGCAGGAAAACAGCACTGCTTTTATTTTTTGACACTCCGTCTTGCTCTGTCACCCAGGCTGGAGTGCAGTGGCGCGATCATAACTCACTGCGGCCTTGAACCGCTGCCTGGGCTGGGGCAGTTCTCCTGCCTCTGCCTCCGGAGTAGCTGGGGACCACAGGAGCACGCCACCATGCCTGCCTGTGTTCCTTTTTAAATTTTTTTTTTTGAAACGGGGTCTCCCTCCGAAGCTCAGGCTGGAGTGCAGTGGTGTGATCTCAGCTCACTGCAACCTCTACCTCCTGGGTTCAAGCGATTCTCCCACCTTAGCCTCCTGAATAGCTGGGACTACAGGCCCATACCATCGTTCCCGACAAGGTTTCATGACGTTGCCCGGGCGAGTCTCGAACTCCTGGGCTCAAGTGATCTGCCCACCTTGGTCTCCGAAAGTATTGGGACTACAGGCATGAGCCACCAGGCATGACCATTTCTTTTTTTTTTTCTGATCCAGACCCCAAGACGTCTCTTGGATCTCATGCAAGAAAGAATTCGGGGTGAGTTTGTAAAGTGAGAGCAAGCCTATCAGGAAAGCAGAGGGATGAAGCGGAATTGGGGGCTCCTCCCTCCCCTTTGAGATCATCTAGGAAAACTTCTGGATGTTGCCATGGCATCTGTAGGCCGTCTGGGCGCCGGCGGGCGTGCCTTTTAGCAGCGAACCCATTCTAATTAGCATATAATGAGCTGGGAGGTGAACCAGAGGTCACTCTAGTGGCCACCTTGGTTTTTTATTTTTTATATTTATTTGTTTATTTACTTTTAGTAGAGATGGGTTTCAACATCTTGGCCAGGCTGGTCTGAACTCCTGACCTTTTGATCCACCCACCTTGGCCTCCCAAAGTGCTGGGATTACAGGCGTCAGCCACCTCGCCCGGCCGCCACCTTGGTGTTGGTGGGTTTTGTCCGGCTTCTTCACAACAGCCTGCTTTATCAGCAGGGTCTTTGTGACCGTGTCTTGTGCCGACCTCCTATCTCATCCAGTGACTAAGAATTCCTAACCGCCTTGGGAATGTGGGAATGTGGCCCAACAGCTCTCGGCCTCATTTTACCCAGCCCCCATTCAAGATGGAGTCGCTCTGGTTCCAATGCCTCTGGCACTGGGATTCCAGGTGAGAGCTACTGCGTCTGGCCTGCATTGCTTTTGGAAATGGAGAGCATGCCCATTTTTGTCACTCATCTATTCGGATAGGATGGGTTTCCCGGCCAGGAGGTGCCGGGTCAGGGCTCCCGTGAGGACCACGTGCTGCCCTGCTGGATACCTCTGCACCACTGGCTCCTGTTGGCAGCTGAACCGGCCCCACCTCGGGGTCCTGGGCCTGGGTTGCAGCTGGTGGTGTGTGGGCGCAGAGTGGCAGCGGGCCCTGAGGGCTGGGCAGGCCAGTGCAGCTGGAGCCTGCCTGTAGGGAGTTCTAGAACAGGCCACGTTGATCTGCAGCGAAGTCGCCTCTGAAGGGGTGCAATGGGGGACACACAGGACATAGCTCTGGTGGTCAGGTTCTTATCTTGGTGGAGTCTGCATTTGTCAACTCCCCGAGTGACACCCTGAGATCTGTATAGCATGCTGGCTTGAATCGTGACCCCCAAATTCATATGTTGAAGTCTTGACCCCAGTAGCTCAGACTATGCCCAGGCAGAGTCAACAAAAAGGGGAAAATCTGGCCAGGCGCGGTGGCCCATGCCTATAATCTCAGCACTTTGGGAGGCTGAGGAGGGTGGATCACGAGGTCAGGAGTTCAAGACTAGCCTGGCCAACATGGTGAAACCCTGTCTCTACTAAAAATACAGAAATTAGCTGGGTGTGGTGGTGGATGCCTGTAATTCTAACTACTCGGGAAGCTGAGGCAGAGAATTGCATAAATCTGGGAGGCAGAGGTTGCAGTGAGCCCAGATCACTCCACTGCACTCCAGCCTGGGCGACAGAGAAAGACTCTGTATAAAAAAAAAAAAAAGAACAAGGAAAATCTCCAGCCGGTTCCCCAGCTCTGAGCCCGCACCCGCCTTGGGTCCAGGAGGGCCGAGGTGCGGGGGAAATGTGTGCTTGGGTTCCTCTGCCGGAGCCTGGTCCTCCGTGGAGCCCCCTCCTGCCGGGTGAGAGGAGCAGCGGGTGCTGTTGGTGCTGCCGCCCCGTAAAGCCTTTCAGGGTTTCCTTAGGAAGGGGTGTGTGTTCCCTCCCAGGCGCAGCTTACCCCTCCTATACCCCCCACACCTCCCTCTCCCTGCCCCAGGCAGCCCCCAAGACTCTCCTTGCCCTGAACTCCCATCTGCCTCCCAGCTCTGTCCTGTGTCCCTGGCTGCCTGCGTCAGCCTGGCCTCCCGTTTTGCACCCTGGCTCCCTCTCTAGGCAGCGGTGCAGTGAGGATGCTGCCCAGGCTGGAGGCTGGCGGGAGGTTGGGTATGATGCGAGGCTGTGTTTTGGGCTGTTCTGGGGATGCTGAAAACATTAGTGTGGGTCTGGCTCCTCTTGTGCAGACACTGCACTCTTCCCTTCCTCTGCAGAAGCAGAACCCTGATGTGTGGGGGGCGTGTAGCCGGCCTGATTGAAGGACTGCATCTCCCGGCTTCCTCCCTGATGCTAAGTGGAGCCCAGCTGCTGAGTTGTGGCCAGTGGATTAAAGGCAGAAGTGCTGTAGGAGGCTTCCAGGAAGACGGCTAAAAAAAGAGCTGCTGCAACTTCTGCGAGGGGCCCTTTTCTGCTCTGTACTTCTACAGCTTTCTTCCCTCTGTTCTGTGGCCTTGATGGCTGGAGCTCCAGCAGCCACCTTGGACCATGGAGTGGCTTTGAGGCTGGACGCCACGTGTGGAGGACGAGGAGGAGCAGGGCAGCCGGGATCTGGGTCCCTGATGACATCACGGAGCTGCCACCTCACCCTGAATTGGTCCTCTCAGATTCTCACTTCAGAAAGAGATAAGCTTTTTAAATTTTTTTTAAAATTTACAAAATAAATTCACCTGGGTGCAGGTGGGCTAAGACCGAAAAGGTAAGCCAGGCAAGCTTCTTTCTTGTTTATGCTTCTCCTGATGGGATTGCTCTGTTTATGCAGTGAAACCAAACTGTGGAGTCCTGATTAGCTGACAGAAACAAGGAAGAGGCTCCCTCCTCTGCACCACTCCCCGGCACACAGGCCCTAGCTGGCAAGATCAGGAACGAGGGTGCAGAGACCCATTGTTCTAAGAAACAGTTAACCACAAGCAACCCGCTTGCACAACCTCCTGTTACCAAATACCTCACTCCGCATGTAGCTCCAGCAGAGTGACCCCGTCTGCATGCAGCCTCTCCAGAGTGACCCCGTCTGCGTGCAGCCTCTCCAGAGTGACCCGTCTGCGTGCAGCCTCTCCAGTGT